ATTTGCATAAAAAATTGAATTGCTTTGTTTGTATCTAATATTTTTTAATTACTATCTTTTTACTACTTTACTTACTTACTATTTTTATAATTAAAGAAGAAAGGATCGAAAAAGACCTAAATTATTTCGTAAAAATGAGCATGATATGTGTCGATACGCCATTGTTTTAGGTTTGTTGTTAATTCATTCAATTGTTCCCTTTGTAGGTACCTTTTGATTACATGTCGCCTTTTAGAAATTCCTAGTTTTTATAAATTGACCGTAATTTGGAATAGAAAAACGAATTAACATTTGGGAATTGTTTATGTAATTTGATATAAGTAGGTTATGTACAGCTGTAATTGGACTTCAGGTTTACTCACCATTTATAACTAAGATTGTTGTGTCCGATTTCAATCTGTCGTCTGTATCTATATTTATGTAAAATAAATAAATAAAAGGATGATAACGACTGTGGCGCTTTTTTTGCTCAAATTGGTGACAGATTTAAAATTTAATATTTAGCACCTACATATGTATTTAGAATACATGTTTTGTAATGACACTTTTTTATTATACATTTTTACAAAATCTATCAAGTTAAATGTTTTGTTGTTTCCGCTATGTTTTTATTAATAATTAAATTTAAATCATCAAATTATTTAATAAAACCATTCGCACGTTCAAGTCAACCGAAACAATTTTAATATCATACCATCAAACACCTCTTACCATCAAAATTAAACTCAAAATTGAGACGACTAATTAAATAAACCAAACCAAAAATTTCGGTATGTTTAATACTTCGAACAGCAATAAACAGTCCGCTTCGCTACCCGCTCGCTAAGTAGCGCGGGGCTTACGAAGTAACACAAGCGCGCGGTCAGGTGTCGTAACAAGGTGAAGTTCAATGGGTTACAACACATTCAAAGGTTAAAACATTTGCGAAAACTTTTGATGAATTATTGATTGAAATAAAGAAATACTTTTGTTCATAAAATATGGATTTCGTGCGAATTCTTGATTAAAATTAGTTAATCACCGAAGTGTCGTCAATAAATCGTAATTATACAAGTTTTAATTATAGCCCAGTGAGACATATATCACGGTGTTTATAGCTGTATAGTATAATTAAGTCACTGTTCATCATTATTTAGCCACATCATTTTTATATAAGGATATTTTTCATTAAAAAAATAATCATGTGTTTGAGTCATTCGAACTAAACATACTGACATTTAGTTGTTAGTAATAGTTTTTTAATAACTTTAATTATGTTTAATTATAACATTTCAGTAAATTATATCTATCTGCATAAGTATAGTTTACTTCTGATGTTAATTAATACCAAAAAAAACATTTTTGATTCCAATAAATATTACATAGAGGTTAACAAATCAACAATTGATTTGCAAAAAATCTTGTAACAAGCCTTTCAGTCAATCAACCAATCAAGCAGTCGTGCTCTTTGCTTGCTCTTCACAATAGTTCAACAACTGCCGGACACATCATATAATTACAGGCAGGCAGTATAATGCCTAGACATAGACATGTAGCTTATACTTCAAATTACAAAATACGTATTAAGTATTGCGTCATGCATCGCTGACTTTTTGCAAGTGATGCATTCTCAGGGAACTCTGTGACGACATCCGCGGAGAATGGTATTGTGTGCACATGTTTGCTCAAACACAAGCTAGTCTAGACCCTCCGCCGATAGTTTTAGAAATAGATTTTGAGTTAACGAGTTGAAACTTTTTTTAGGTCGGATCCTATAATTGGCACGGCTTTTCTCTTATAGGACTTACAACATATTATTACTAATTGGCACACACATCATCATCATCATCATTAACTGTAAAATGTTCACCTCTCAGTGGTCCTGGTATAAATTGGAATACCGCAAGGACTTGCCGTTTTTTAACATTGAGAGTCTGACACTCCCTCTCACCTTTACCGAAGGCAGGAGGACTAATGCGATTTTCCTTCTTAAAAAAGGGGTTGTCATAAACCCTACATTACTATCACGTTTGTTCCCGAAGCTGCCTTTAGTTTAAGAATCATAACTTCACAATTATCCGCCCGTCTTGCCCAAAATACATATAAAGAATGCTACTGTACTTTCGTCTATGGATGGTCCAGCTGGTTAGTTCAAGATGTAGGTAATTTTTTTTCAGACTACCTATTAATATCATTTAAAAATAAGTTTGCCTTAAACTATAGTACTAACTACTATATAATAGTACTAATGAAAATAACCAAACAAAAAGTGACAATATAATTCCTTCGCAGAACTTCGCACGTGCTATTACAAGAGTTCAAAGTTCTGAGGTTAAATACAAAACATGGAACTCTGTGGCCCTTTAATTGAGTGCGTCAAAACACAGACCGTAAAGTTCAGGCCATCACTATAATATTAGTCATGCTTGGAAATATTACTCCAACCGTGTAACACCCATAGCGACTTTATCAATTACCGACATTCTTCAAAGTAGGTTGTATTTATTAAACATGTATCTATACATAGGTATAATAAAACTGTACAAGTGAAAATTCTGTACATACTTACATTGAAAATATTAAAAAATAAATAGTAGGCAAGGAGTTACTAGATAGACAACGAACCTAAAAATGTGATTTAAAAAACTCTTTCCTGTCTGTCTGTATGTTCACGCATCACGCAAAAACCGATTACGATGAAAATTGGTAGTATGATTATACTTTTATATCTTGGTATTTTTATCACGAAAAAGTATATACACGAAAAACAAACTTAATTGTATGGCTGAATCCTTAGACACAGCTACTGTACCAAACACAAAAATAGGTTTGTCGAATGTCAGGTTGCCCGCAATGGACTTACGCTGTAACTGTAGGGCCGATGGTTGAAATTAGCGTATTTGTGTGTATGTTTGATATTCGGTCACATTAAAATGGCTGAAGAAACCGAGATGAAATTTGAAATAGAGATAGGTTATGGTATGGAGTAACACATAGACTATTTTTTACCCCTTGGAACGCGGGCGAAGCTGCTGGCAGAAGCTAGTTGATAATGAATTGTTTACTAGTTTCATTTATCATGTGAATTAACTGCTTCTAAGGTTCGGTTAAAATAAGGTGTTAAACAATTTTAACGATCATATTTTTGGGATACCGAAAATGTACCAATGATCCTAACAAGATGTTAGCAACATCAACTATAATATAAATAAATGATCCTGGCAGTACAGCCCACATGTCATTATAAAGCATCGAACCTAGTGATAAAATCTAATAGTCGTCTCATAAACGACTGGGAGTTCCGTGGAAATGATTAAGTCGTCGTTAAAAAATGATGTAATTCCTCTATGAATTGATATATCAATTTCATTTCTTAATTTTATTTATGACTTCAGTGTAGAGGTGAACGTAAAGTTGCGTTCGTTTTGGTCCTTCAAGACTCAACAAGGACCAAAATCTAAGAAATACATATACACTTGAACCGTTTTTATTCTTCAATTTTTTGTATAAAAATGATGATATTTTCTAAATCGGTATAAATACTCAAAACACATCAATTGATTTGTGAGATGCACTATTAGGAATAAATGAATTTGTTAAGGAAACAATCATAGACTGAAATATTGACACTAAAAATTCTTAAAGCTAAGAATCAAATGCGTGTCAGCTTGCTTCGCATCCTAACTATACTCACTTGTAATGGGAGTCACGCATCCATTCTCATGGTAATGGACCCGTATTTACTAAATACGGATACTCACACGATATATGGCTTGTAAGAGACAATTATACCATTACAGAAAATCACCTTAATGAGGATTCGACATCTATGTTTCTATTTTAAGATCACGGTTTAGTTAACAAAATATAAAATTGTCAAGTTGAAATAACCGTTGCGGTTGACACGAGTGGTTGCTAACCGCAAAGTCAAAGCTCTCGACATTTTTAATGCACAGGTGGTGTCTGTGATTACGTCAAATGTCATTATAATATACTACGTCATTCTAAAACGCCTATTCCAATCAGGGCTGAATTAACAGCCCTTTTTATAATCGAATGTGATTATTTAAAAACAATAAACACCTATTTCATTAAAATTCATTAGATTATTACCGAACCTTGGCTGATGTCTCAAATACATACGTGGACATAGAATAGTAACATAAAATATTATGAAAAGACCTTCCAAAATCACACATAACTATATTCCACTGTTTACTGAACTTATAAAGAAATGACATCTCCCTTCGCAAAATTTATTATTTTATAAGGACATGAAGATGAAATACCTGCTTCAGAAAATTAATAAAGTTAATTGCACACCTGCATAAGTCTCGCCTGGTGTTTAATTAGTCTTTCATCATTGTCCCTAGGTATTACAGATGTTCCTTAACTAAGTTGTATCTGAAATAAGTACTTTCACAATTCATTCATGGTTTCAACATCACGGATGAACTCAACGGCGTGGGTAAGACAGTTCATACGATTAACTAACTAACAGATTAAGTTTTAAGGTTAACACCCGGTCGCTTGTTAAAGATTAATAACACCTTATAAGTAACACATCGCAGTTTAGTTATCAGAAGAAAATTAAACGTGGTGTGTCGAAGGCTGTGTAGCTCGTAAAATGACACACCATGCTTTAATGGAATCTTCTCATATTTGGATCCCTTTGCATTTAATTACCTATTAATAACTATGTTGCTTTTGAAAAGTATGTACTACTAGCAGTCTACTTAAAATACTTCAATAAATGCTTTTAATTCGTTATTGATTATGGAAAATATTGAATATTTTAATAAGTCTCCTTAGGTAGATGTTTTGGTCATCAATTTAACCTTTAGTTTTTAATGGCACTTTGGAGGATCTTAAATTGTTATTTCAGAATATTATTCAATCTTTGAAGGTTTTAAATGTTTCGTAATTTTTTAGGAATTTTTATGTTTTATAATTGTAAAGCAAAGTCAGTAAAATAGGTAATAAAACGATTTCATAAATTACTAACATAAATTGTTTATTAACAAATTCTTTCAGGATCATATCACAGATCGCTTGGTGTGGACAATTATTATCAACAAAGGAAGGAAGTAGGGTTAAGGATGAGTATTTTTGGACTAGATATTGGAATTAGTGAAATTCACTTAAGGAGCCTGGGGGATGTGAGCGCCCTGGGGCTGGAAGCCGAGCTCGTTGGCGATGTAGGTGATGGTGTAGACAACACCGTCGGGGCCGGTGTAGGAGTACTGGCCGCGGACCTCGATAGCCTCGTTTTCAGTGCCGGCGTTCTTCAGCTGACCCTGCTCCTGAGTGGCAATGCCGTTGGAGGTCTCCACGCTGTGGGCACAAATCACACATTAATATAACGAACAATTGTAAAGCGTATAATTAAAGTTTAGGGTATGGATCGCTGGATAATGGAAGACTTTATATAAAGGCAAGACTTACGCATAGTTGTATCCATCAACTCCGATGTTGTCACTATCGTAGCGGAGGACGACGGCGTCCGCGTCGGAGCTGGCGGGAGCGGCGACGGCGGCGGCGACGAAGAGGGCGAGTACGATGAACTGTTGGCAGAGAACACACTGTTAGAACATATCCTGGTCACTGAGAGGTGGGCTCACTGAGATTTAAACAGGGAAGATCCAATGTTATTTTTCACCAGATGTAAGATTTACGTTTCGTAATCCAAATATTTTAATTTTACAAATCCAAACGTACCGATTTCATTTTTGAAGGGTTTGTGTTTTGTCCTGGGACTGTTTGTGATTGAAAGGCAATCGAGCGACTGATGCATCTGTGTTGTCGGGCTTGCTATTTATACTGACTGGCGCATCGTTGCGCGGCGGCAAGGACGCGCTTTGACATTTGAACTTAGAATCGTCTTCGGCCACCGATGGTCGTGAAGTTAAAGGTTCTTAGTGACATGTCCGGCTTGTTGAGATGCTTCCAATTGATATCATTTGATTGACCTACATAGTTTTGGTGATATTTATTACTATCATTCTTTTAAATCAATTTTTTATACCTGTTATACATATTAGTATTAAACTTAGATCAAAATTATTATATTTATTAATCTATATATTTTGTTAATAATATATAATAATTTTATAAATAGTTTTGGCTCGACATAGGGGCTTTGCTAGCCCCGTCTTTGGTACTTCGTTTATCGAATTCTAGTGTTTTATTGCTATTGTTCGTTCATCTTTACGTATTTTCATAAAAAAATGCTACCAGGAAGTTCACATAATAATATAATAATAATAAAGCCCTTTATTCTGAATTTTTTACATTACGAGTTGTAACAAAAATGTTACAGTATATCTCTTAATTCAGTGTGCCTTTTGGCAATGGCCTCCTCTAGCTGTCTCCATTGAATTCTGTCACGGGCTACTCTTCTCCAGTTGGGTCCCGCTGTTAGCCTTAGTTTGTCCACCCATCTTTTTAACTGCTTTCCTCTGCTGCGTTTACCGTCTCTTGGATACCAATCAGGTACTATCTTGCACCATTTTTCCTTGTTTTCTCTCATCATATGACATACCCACTTTCTATTTCTAAACTATTTATTTCTAATCTAAATTCAACACTCCATCATAAACTGTAACTAACTGTAAGAGTTCACTGCAGAACTATAGCTCTCTTTTACAAAAGCTGATTTGCCATAATTTTCATACAATTTCCATAAAGTGAACTTCTACAATCTTTTCGTAATTAAAATAATTGTGCAAACCCGGAAAAAAGGTGGTTCTTTTAAAATTATATTCAGTAATGTTATGCAACCACAATAAAATGCCAACATCCCAAGGTTTGATGGGTGGGAGTGATAAAGGACCACTTTTCGACTCCCAGCACATTATTCTTAAATATCGAATGATCGCCTGTATACCTTTATTTATAGTTTGCTTATATTATTTCAATATAATTCACGAAACATAACCGTTAATGTTCTGTATTGATTTGACATTTATATTAAAAAGAAATAATTATTAAAAAAATCTCTAAAAATATGTGAACCTTTTGCAATCGTGCAATTTATAAAAAAAGTAATTACGATGAGGGATGGAATACATAAAGCTGTTTATTTCCTGAAAAGTAAGAAGCAGAAACACAGACATCATGAACCGTTGCCTGCTTCGCATTTTGAAAATTTACTGGCCATAAGCAGATATTCTTAGAGAACTAAGAATATCTGCGGACGTCTTCTGCCCTATCTAAGGGACACAGGACATTAAGTCAAGGAAGTTACCTCTATTCTACCTGCCTTCATGGGAAGTTAGATATTGTATTAAAGAGGACAGCAGACATGTTCATGTGTTCGTAATATACTTCTGCGATAGGTAAAGGTAAATACGCTTAAGTAGTCACGGAGAACTTAATGGGTTACCGGGGCTCCGGCTCGACGTGCAGGAGAAGGAACGTGGTGGTTTTTAGTCAGTAAGAGTCTGACACTCTCTCCCGCCTAACCCAGGCGGGAGCAGTCATTCGATGATTTACGCTCCTTAAAAAAATATGCATAAGTACATACATACGTCTGTTGTAATCTATGGAGTGTAAGAGTGTCAATAAGGTTTTAGACAAGGAATTTTCCTAGTTTTCTAATTAAAACGTGATTAAACTTTTAGGATTTTCTCCTATTTCAAGGATATATTTACAAATAATCAGAACAAATTTAAGAACAATAGCTAGTGAACCACGCAAACTGTCCTGGGTTGAAATCGAACTTGCAGTGCTTCTTGCAGCATCGACGCAACCGTACGATCAAAGAAACAAAGAAGGAAATCATTTATTTGCTAATAATATACATATAAGTTGGAATGAAGTTAATTGACCTAATACATTTTACAATTCGGCATGCAAATTAAATTACAATGTGATATGAATGTCGTCAAGTAGGTAACTAGGTATACAGTCAAAATTTAAAAATAATTATTAAAAAAGTGCTAAAATGCTACAATCAATTACAATAACTATCGTGAGACATACTAAATTAACTAATGTTACGTGTGTGTGTAACGTGAATATACTGAGAAAAGCTTTACTAGTTTCCTCTGTGGTTCGAAACTAGTAGTTTTTTTCAGTATATTCACGTGAGTAACCCGTGATTTTAGTTAATCAATTATAAGCCATTAAAAAAAGAAATAATTTAATAATATGATGCAATCAAGCCATATCATACCAAATTTTCTAGACCTAAGGACAAATCCAGCTGTTCTAAATGTTATTAAGCAGCGAAACAAAAATAGTTAGAAGCTTTTACCTAAGTGTAGCTGAATTGGTCGCACGAATCATAAAAAAGTAAGAAACTGCTCTGTATTGAATGATACAATGAATCGTACAATTGTTATTTAAAACCTGAATGAACTTGTAAAACTAATAAATAATTATAATGTGTTGCTAATATCTAACGTCATTTGATTTCTAATTCCTAAATTAAAGGTAAAAGCGTCCAAAGTATTAATTTAAAACTTCATTACATTATTACATAGTATAAAACAAAGTCTATCCGCCGTCTGTCTGTCCCTATGTATGCTTAGATCTTTAAAACTACGCAACGGATTTTGATGCGGCTTTTTTTAATAGATACAGTGATTCTTAAGAAAGATTTATATGCATGCACTCGTGCAAAGCCAGGGCGGGTCGCTAGTTATTTATATCAAGCGATTTCATGAATTGAAAATGTTTCTATTAGGTAGGTATGGCAATTTCTGTTCCATTATAACAAGTAAATAGAATGCGTACGTAATAAAATCTCTAACCAGGGCCAAAGATGTATGTATAGGTCCATAAGTTGCAGTTAGTAGTTTCAACCGAAGTCACTATTACAATTCTCCAATTAATTGGTTCTTAGTAATCACTTTTGGTCCTTAGATACAGAAGATCCTAAACAACTTTCAGAATAGTCCATCATCCATTAACCTTGAGTTTTTTATGTATCTCTGTGGCTGTGACACGCAACAATTTTATTAACGACGAAGTCAAATACTTCCCGGATCACTATCTTCTCAGTAAAACCACATAAATCCTTCAGAATATATGAAAAAACTTAGACCTTGAACCACTACTAATCAATTATACAGATACTATATTTTATAGATGGCACAAAAGTTCACGAACACATCTGACATTTTGACTCCTGCATTCTGACTCCTGTTTATGGTAGGCTTCAGAAAATCCACCTTATTGTCCCTAACTTTAGGTAAATTATTCAAAGCAATATCTTTTGTTTAATAGCTTGGTACTTCCTTAACTAGATAGACTGATGTCAATAATTTATATGGAATTATAAGAGATGCTGTAAATTTAGGTTAATTCATCCATTTAACAAATATGTAAATCTTAATCATGATACTGCATAATAATACAGATAATCCAAAATTTGACTACAATTGATTTCCCATTTTCCATTTATACTCTATGAATGATATAAATGCAATTACTTCATTTTTTGAAACCCTCTTCAGAAAATGCCAACGTTTCATATGCCTACCGAAGGTAGTCAGGTACATCAATAAAACTGACTGATCTATTTGTACATAATTATTCTCGGTACTATGCTCGGTTCGGTGTCCTAATGTATAATCAGTAGAATAGGTAATAAAACGATTTCATAAATTACTAACATAAATTGTTTATTAACAAATTCTTTCAGGATCATATCACAGATCGCTTGGTGTGGACAATTATTATCAACAAAGGAAGGAAGTAGGGTTAAGGATGAGTATTTTTGGACTAGATATTGGAATTAGTGAAATTCACTTAAGGAGCCTGGGGGATGTGAGCGCCCTGGGGCTGGAAGCCGAGCTCGTTGGCGATGTAGGTGATGGTGTAGACAACACCGTCGGGGCCGGTGTAGGAGTACTGGCCGCGGACCTCGATAGCCTCGTTTTCAGTGCCGGCGTTCTTCAGCTGACCCTGCTCCTGAGTGGCAATGCCGTTGGAGGTCTCCACGCTGTGGGCGCAAATCACACATTAATATAACGAACAATTGTAAAGCGTATAATTAAAGTTAAGGGTATGAATCGCTGGATAATGGAAGACTTTGTATAAAGCCAAAACTTACGCATAGTTGTATCCATCAACTCCGATGTTGTCGCTATCGTAGCGGAGGACGACGGCGTCCGCGTCGGAGCTGGCGGGAGCGGCGACGGCGGCGGCGACGAAGAGGGCGAGTACGATGAACTGTTGGCAGAGAACACACTGTTAGAACATATCCTGGTCACTGAGAGGTGGGCTCACTGAGATTTAAACACGGAAGATCCAATGTAATTTTTCACCCTACGTAAGATTTACGTTTCGTAATCCAAATATTTTAATTTTACAAATCCAAACGTACCGATTTCATTTTTGAAGGGTTTATTGGTTTGTCTTGGGACTGTTGGTGGTTGAACGGCTGTCGACTGACTGATGCTTCAGAGCTGCCGACACTTAAATTTCTGATAGCGGCGAGCACACGTTGTCGTCACGAGTGTGTGGAGGTGGTAACGTACATCATTTGGGCAGTCTGATCGATAACCTTACCTAAAAAATGGTGAATAGAGAAAGTAAAAATACAAAAGAATGTCATGTGTATCAACATATCGTTTACTCCTTAATTCTGTTGAGATGGCGAGTAGCCTCGGGCAATGACTACACTTTATTACATCATTTGACGATTTATAGTAATAATGAGAGTGGTATGCCCGTGTGCTTATTGTCTCTGATAAAGCGACATTGTTACAGCAAATAAATACTTTAATAATATAAATCTCCTGTATACACTTAATAAAACGATATTGTTAATTATTTCATTAC